AGCCCATCTCAACTTAGTAAATTTCCAACACAAATATTTTATCTTAGAGTTCATAAAATGAACAGCTAAAAAAGCAGATTCACATACCCTACCAGTTCTGAATATACTTAATTAAGTGCTTAATTAGAATAATTAATTGCAATTAAACGTAATTTAAATTTGTGTTTAATTCCTTAGACACGTTTTTGAGTTCTCAATAGCCACCTGTGACTGATGGTAACTGAATTGGTCATCACTGGTATAAACTATGCATGCTTATTTGTTTGGTAAAAGATCCACTGTTTATACCACTCCCTTTTCACTTAAACCTTACAGTAAACACTGTGCACATTTAAAATTCCCAATCTTTATTTCTTACTTGATGTCAGAGAGAAGAACAATCTCAATAACATTACGGTCATGTACTACATAAGTGTTTTCAGTGAATGTCAGTCTCTCTATATAATCATGGTACTCTACTATTATAATGAAGCTGAAGCATTCCTATTGCCCAGTGATGCCATAGCCGTGATGCTACCCTAGTATAATGCACTGCTCATGTGTATGTAACAATGCTGGTATAAACAAACCTACTGAGATGCCTGTTATATAAAGGGACAACACACACAAATATGTGTAGCACATAACACTTGATAATGATAATAAATGACTGTTTCTGGGTTCTGTATCTATTTTTTTTATTATTTTAAAGTATGTACTTTCTACTTATGAAAAAAAGAGGTTACTGTATATCAGGTCACAACAGGAGCAATCTCACACATCTGTCTCATGTTTATTTTGCCCTGTTGTTTTGTTCATAATGGCCTAGGCCTACACACACACACTCACACATCATACAGCATAGATGTGTAAGAGGTTTGTGGAAATACACTCTATGATATTCATATGATAAAATCACTTAACAATACATTTCTCAGAATCTGTCCCATTGTTAGGCAGCACATTACTGTGGTTATATTAAAAAGTGTCTGTGAACGCTTCCTTCTTCACTAATGGGAAGGAAATAAATTGACCTAATGCATTTTGGATCTGACCAATTTTCAAATGATCACTACCATAGAAAGTAGGTAAAAAAACATGAACTGTGAATGCAAACCGTCCAAATAAGCATCTGGGGCTAATAAGAATGGGTAATTACAGACACCATTTTGTATTCGCCCCTTCTTTTTCTGTACTGAGTTCTTAGAAAAGCTTCACCAGGAAGTCAATTAATTCAGTTTTGCAATATTTTATTAGTAATCAACACCAGCATCAGAAAGTACACATTTATCAGGTTATCTAACTGGAGTCTTGGTTTTGCAATATAAGCCATTCTGTCTCTGCTGGAATTTTGAAAATTGGCTCTACTGCTTTTTCAGTATCAGGAAAGCCAAATCAGCAAAATAACAATTTTGGGGAACTTACTGATTAGTGCAGCTAACATTGTGATATTCTTCTGGACTTTGCATTAACCAGACTCCAGGCTCCTAAATCTATCATTCAATTCCTCCCATATATTAATATGTTAATATCACACTTTTAAAAATGCTTTTAACCACTTTCCATTTATTTATTTATTTTTGCAGTGCTACAGATGGAACCCAGGGCCTCTTTCATGCTTGGCAACTGCTCTACCACTAAGCTACATCCCCAACCTTACACTTCATTTTGTTTCTGCCAAATTACCAACAAGATATGAATGGGCATATTTTTTCCCATGTAGCTTAATATAATTTTTAATACTGCTTTTCATAAAAATGATATGGGGATTTTTCACAAAATAGTATAGTCTTCATATTAAATTCATCGAATCCTCATTATCTCTAAGTAACTGTCTCTTATATTTATTAATGTCATCTCATTTTCTTTAGTCTTTTTTCTCCTATCTTCAGCTTCCCACTGTACATTTCTGAACATTTCCTGAAGTCCCATAATTGTCTTTAATACTCAAGTATCCGAAATAGTCATGTGACTTTCTCCTCCCATTGAAAAACTCAGATCCCAAAGTTCTGATTTCTGTCTGTCACACTATCTTTCATCTACACAAACACTCAGTCATTTGTGATATTCTTATCATATCCTTATCTAGACATCACCAAATCTCCTCAATGTACCCAAATGAAATTAGGTTAAGAAGGTCGGCCAGACAACTTTATCCTAAGGAAAACCCACTTTTGCATGTCATAAAACTTCTAGAGAGTTTCTGATTACTATGAGTTGAAAATGATTTTTCAGTCTGGTCCTACCTTGTCAATCCAATTTTATCTCCTTTATTCACAATTCTGAGCCTTGGTCTCTTCTTAGCCTCCTCTGAGTGTTACCCTAAACATACTCAGAATTCATCCCCACATCCAGAACATTCACACTGAGATTTTGCCCATAAGAGTTCACTATAGGCCCTCTCACTTTTCCTTATTCATCACAATCTTATCAGTCATTTAGTTCAAATTTTAAGCCCCTCAATTTAGTAGCTCATTTTCCTCTATGTTAACTTACCATTTTTACCTATGCTGTTTCTTTTCCGTTTTAAGTGCTTGTATTGCCTAATTCCTCAAAAGGCATGCTTTTGATAGTTTTTGCATTACTTTCCACAGTGCCTTGCACAGTACCAGAAGTCACTAATAGTTCAAAAAGTAGTTGCTCATTTTAAGCTAAAAAGAACTGAAGCAATTGCCCTTCCTACCTGGAGTTGGTTAAAACATTTTAGAAAAAAATGTCATATCTAATCTTTTCTCATGTGTTTATGGATTATTTTGTAGCCGTGGAATGAAAGTCAATATATGAGAGACCCAATTCTGTAATTTGGAGGCCTCCTCTGTTGGGCAGTCTACAAAATTTGAACTCGTGCCAGCTGGATTACACTGGTTTTAAACTATCTCTCCCTTGAGGAAGGAGGAAGCAGGTAAAAGTCTCCCGCACTGAAGGTGGAAATGGTGTGAGTTCCATTTTGCAAGAAGAGAAGTACATTTTTCCCTTCCTGATGAAAACCTTACCATGCGGCTATAGTTTAAAAAAAATGCAGAAATATCACAAGAAATTTAAAGTAGGATTTTCCCTAGGAAAATATTGCAAGCTTTAAACCCTATTAAGCTAAGGTGCAATTTGGTAGCTTCTTCTCAACAATGCCTGCTTCTACTTAGATTATAAGTAGAGTGTCTTATGACAGCTCTTTGGATGAAGTCTTATACTTTGGGGTAATGGGTACATGTGATAATCCAGTCAAAAAGAACAGGGGAAGGGAGATTTCTCTTCCTCACCTATGATACATCATTGGCTATATTCAAGTTCCCAAAATTGTGTGTCGGTTGGCACTCTGTCTTTTCCTAAGGATATTTTCTTTCAGCTATAACCTAATAAAGAAGGCTCTCTCATGTAGAAGCTGCAATATGGAGCAGCACAGAATCAAATCAAATAGAATATCTGTTGGCCTGCGTTGTGATAGCTCTAGAGAAAGTTCTCTAGGGGAGGATGGAGGGTGCTTCTTTGGGAGTCATTACCACTGAGCCATCACTAGTGGAAGGAATGGAGACATTTGATTCTAATAAAGCAATTAGCATTACTGAATCCAACCACATTCCTTTAGCCTCCTCCTGGTTCTATCACTAGTTAGATAGATTCAAGTCTTTATGAGATGCTTCAGGTGACAATGAACTGTTCACATCTCCCATTTGGGATTATGATAGTTTTAAATATCTCTCTTTCTGCTATGGGTATGTGCAAACAGATTTTTTCCCCCTAATTTGGTTCTCAGGATTCTGGCAGTGTTTGAGGGGGTTTATCATTCAAGTGAGTGTGCACAGGGGTTTTCAGATGCAAGAAGATACTGGCTTCACAAAGAGATGTGTTTCCTTAAGAATATTTTAAGAACATACAATTGTATGAAGCAATAAACAATGATAGGGTGTCTAGAAATGAAAGTATAGGATATTAGATATTTTTTATCTATTCAGTTGGCAGAGGACCATGCCTGCAAGCCCATGAAAACAAACATTTTTGCTAGTCATTTCAGCCTGATTAGGGAAAGCAAGAAGGGCTATTTCATTATTGTTAAGATTGCATAGAGGCCCTGGAGGAGGTGGTAGGGTGATGATGGTCAGATATCCCTGTGTGACTTGGAAATAGTGTCATTTAATGAAGACACAGCAGTGAGGCTGTGGTAATTTCACTTGATGTCTGATGTTTCACATGCCACAACAGCTCCACAAAGGCCAGTGTGCAGAGTTCATTCCTGAGCCATCCAAACTTGTCTTTAGAGAATCCTGGATGTAGGAACCATGGCTAATTATTTCAGAGAAGTTTATTTCTTCCAGATAAAGGTGTGTGCTCACTGAGGCATGTTGTTCTGCTCCTTTGTTCATTAGACTGAACGGCTTGAGATGAGAGTCACATTTGGGATCCCAAATGTCTATGGAGGCCAGAACTGATCCTTCTTGGTGTGTTTATCTTCCTGAGTCTTTTGAAAGTGCCACCGATGTGGATGTTGTATTTTCTTTTGCCTCTCACCTTTCTGGGATAGCTCATTAGCAGTGTTTTGAGTGCTAATTAAACTCATTTGATCCTTGGGAAACAGACTTAAGAAATGTTACTACTGCAGTAGATTGCTTGGTTTATCTTTTAATGGCCTTTCCAGCTTGATGCCCCATGCCTGATGATACTGCTGACCATTTTTTTTCTATTTCCGGACCAAATTAAAGTGAACCACACTGGCCCTGTTATTGAAGCAGTGCGTGGGGGTTATTTGCTATGAGGTGGTTCTGTGGCTGTCCGCCAGGATGTGAAATCTCTAGTGTCCATGCTATTTCCTGAGGTGAGCACCCACGGGAAGTAGAATTTACTGCAACCTGTCGTTTGTGCTCACGAACAGTATGACAGTAGGAAACTCTGGGGCCATGAAAGAGTTTCTAGGCTTCATTTTAGAATCAACATGTCAGTGCATTCCTGGTTTCACCAGTCTTTAAACAGTATTTCATGATAACGGTCTACTTTTTGTTGCTTGGATTCATCATATTCTTTCTGTGATTGCAGGTCCCATAGGTATGGATCTCTGGCAGCTGCTGTTGACCTTGGCACTGGCAGGCTCAAGCGATGCTTTTTCTGGGCATGAGGGTGAGTTCTGCTTTCCTATTCCCACCCTACTGTTATAAAACAGCACCAAACTTTGTTAAATCCAAATTCTTTGGGTGATTTAATTAAACAATGCAAGGCTTAGGAAACTTGTTTTAGTTTTAAAATCATAAACTGGGAAGGCTTTTTTGTGAATGCTTTATGAGGAATACCATAGTCAATTTTGGCATCTGATGTTTTTACATTGAAAATAAATGCTACATAACATGCGGAGGTCATTTATGTTGAAGGCAAGCCAGGTCTCTAGTCCTCAGGCTCTGGGAGAGAGATGGAAATTGCGGTGAAGTTTATTAACTTACTGATCACTCAGCTCATCGGTGACTTAGGGTATCATAGTCTATTTCCAGAGCTTGGAATTCAGGCCTCTTAATCATATTCTTTGAGACAGGAAATTGCAGGTTTTAAATGAATTTCACCTCTCACTCTCTCTGTGATTACCGTTTGGCTAAGTTTGAGGGAAGAGACACCTGAAATAGTTGAACGACATACTCAGGCTTCGTGAATTTCCTTGGCCGTCTCTATAATTGTCCCTTCTTTTTTGTACTCTTCTTCTGGAGAAGTTGCAGTATTTTCAAACTTAAGTGTCAGAAAAAAACAGAAACAGGGAAGAGTTTTGAAAGGGAAAAGCAAGAGGAGGTTTTTGTTTCTTTGTTTTTGGTCCAGAAAGAAAACTTCTCATTGGGTGGGGGACTTTTTCAAAAATCATCTTGAGGACTTGTATTTTTTTTTCCTTGCCTGTGCTTCAGCTGAGAAGAGCAACAATGTATTTCTCAAATTCCATGAAACCAAATTCAATTGTTGCTTGGAGAGTCACTGACTCCCTTCACACCCAACCCATGTTGGAAAACACAGTTTAACAGAAGACTTAGCACCTTAAGATGTCCTGCATGACCTTCAAGCCAAAAATAAATGCATCATAGCGAGCTGCTGAGGGTGTCCAGAGTAACTTAGAAAATGAGGAGGGTAAAATATGTTGTTTTATCTGTTAAAGCAATTCCAAAATATTTATAGAAAGAAGTCATAATTGTTTAAAATATTTTCTGGCCTCTCTGGTGTTATAATGTCAACATTATGCAAGTCAAACGTGGAGAGAATTGCAGGCTCCATTTCAACAGCTTTTCCCATGGCTGGTTTTAGGCCCTGGTTCTGTGCCAAAGAATTGAAACTGAGATCCTCTGCTATTCCAAATTCATGGAGGTTTAATCTCTCCTCTCTTCACTAAGGTGACAGGCACTCAATATGGCAAGGCCTGAGGAATTTAGAAAACCCGTGAAATGAAGGGTATGGCACAAGAAATTGAAAAAAAAAAAAGGCATCTCTGAGTGGGAACTTAGAGCTCAAATTGCATTTCAGACCTAGAGAATCTGCAGAGAACATATATCTCAGCTGCTTCAACAGTTTAGTAAACCTTAACTTCATAAGAAAAGTAAAGAAAAAAATGCCATTGGCTGTTTTTTTAACATCAATTTTATTGTGTATATTTAAGATATTAAAAAGGTTGTTATAAAATACATACATGTAATAAAATGGTTACTATAGGGAATCAAATTAACATGTTCATCATTTCCCATAGACACCAATACTCACCGCAGCAAGAATAGCTATAATTTACCATGTGTCAAAACTCCTGAATATGAAACATTATTATCAACTGTAGTCCTAACGGCATACATTAGATCATTGGACTTGTGCATCCTACATATTTGCAATTTTGTCTCCTTTTACCTATAGCTCCCAAGTCTTCTTCCTTCCCCGAACCCTGGTAATACTGTTCTTCTATATAGTTGACCATTTTGGTTTAGATTGCACAAATAGATGAGATCATGCAATAGTTTTCTTTGTGTGTCTGGCTTATTTCACTTAATTTAATATTTATATTGTGGCAAATGGAAGAATCTCCTTCTATCTTAGGCTGAATAATGTTGCATTGTGTATGTGTGCACCACCATTTCTTTTATCTGTCCACCCATGGATGGACACCTAGGTTGTTTCATTTCTTGACTATTTTGAATGGTGTTGTAGTGAACATAGGCGTGCAGCTATCTCTACAAGGTGGTGATAATATTTGCTTGTCAGTAGTATTTTTTTTCTTTCCTTTTTGTTTGGGGAAATCAGAGTATAAAGAAAGTCAATGGTTTATAATAAGCATAAATCATTTATATTATCAGTAGTTATATAAAAGGAGTAACTAAACAAAGAAAAAAATTTTTTTTCTTTTGTTCTTGCTGAACTAACTAAAATTTCATTAGAATATGTGGGTACTACAGAATAAAATGGCCCAGGGATTAAGAATAGGTATGATGTTTATGTAAGAAGGTATAGGTGAGCTTGTCCAAACATGTGGGTGGTTGTGTATTTACCAGTTCTGGCCACTTATCTAATAGGTTCAGCCAAAGTTAGTGGGTGACATGACATGGATCATGATCTCAAACGACATTACTAGGCCATGTGTTTCTTTTTCTGCCAGATCTGGGTCAAATCATTTTATTTTTATTTTCTTTCCCTTTGTATAAGGCAGACTAAAAATATAGGTGGAGAATTTTTAAAAAGCAGGCATTACTATAGGTTCATTAGCCATTTTTTTAAAATCCAGTTTGATCAATGAAAGGTGTGGCACTATTGAGAGAGAGATGATGAAGATATCACCTGAAGAAAAGTTGCCCAGGATCTGGGAGAAGATGACGGATCTGTAGGCTGGGGGAAGATTGGCCCTTGAACCTTCAAGTAGGGTTTTTCTTGCTTGGGCAGATGAGCGATTAGTAGTGTTTTTGGCCTTAGAGTATTTTTTTATATTAAGTCTAATTGCCCTGTGGGAAATTTAATGAGAACTAAACATTGAACAGTATCATCATAGTGTTAACTAAAGTGTTGTAATAGATGTTTTCTCTCTGTCTCTCATTCTTAATATGAAACTCTATATCTGCTCCTCAAAGCAGGTTAGGTAGTCTCAAGGATAAGATTTTTTTCCCAAATCAAGAATGATCAACAATGCCTCATTTTTTTAGGACTTAACCAGGTTTACTTTACTAAACATATCAAAATTGCTACTCCTCAAGTATTGCTAATGAAAACTGGGCAGAAAGATCCAATGGATGTAGATGTTTTTCAAGGAGTGCCTATTATCAACTAAGTCACATATCTTTACTACATTGATCAGCTTACAACTAAGGAGCCCCTTAGGCCTCAGCCACCTATGGTGGAAGTAGGCAAACTCCTTCCCTGAAGAAGTTCAGTGTAGCTGACATATTAAGAACGTCCGTAAGTTAACCAGGGCCTGGATGGCTGTAAAGTCTAGATCATGTGATGAAGGCAAATGGTCAAGATGCTTTGAAGTATTTTAATAGATACAGATTGGAGAAGTTAAATCAACAAGTTCAATGTATATATATTTCTCAAGAAGTTTCTGTTTTCAAAGCTTGAACAGGAGGCCATGAGGAATACAATGACTTTTCCTTTGAGGGATTTATCATGAGTTAAGAGATCCAGTATGTACACCATATTATATACAATATTTATGTATATATAATTTACGTACATGTATGCATGCACATGTATGTTAGGCATGGCCTATAAGCAAAGTTTATAATTAGTATCATAGCTCTCTTCACAGTAATTCTGCAAAAGGTGTTGCATCATTTTATACCAGTTAAGATAAGAAACTTATATTTGGAATAAAATGTCATGTTCTAAAGAAACCAGGATCCCTAAAATAATATTCTCTCTATATCTCTGAGCACTCTTTCCAATTCTATGAAAACTGACCTATCACTGATTTGAAAGAAAGGACTCTTCTGTTCTGGTTGCTAAAGGAGAGGAAATTACAGCACAGAGGGAGGAAATTTTTATTTTTAAAGTAAATCCTACCCCGCTACAGTTGAAGCTCTGCAGAGTCCTGAGAGATTGTCAAAACATATTGAAGATATTTCAAAAAAGTATTAGTCACAGCTGTAGTTGATAGAAAGTATACGGTGTCTCTATTAAATATTTTCAAAAATGAATAATTCCAGGCTTTGCTGCATCACTGGAAGTAAAGGAGAAAGCCACAGAGCTTTAGTTTGCTGCCGTGTTAACCATCATGCTGGGCAAGAAGCAATTTTATAGTCTGTTCTAATGCATGATACAAGTTAGGATACATCAGCAATCGTATGTCACCTTTGCTTCTGGTATCACACACTGGATTTGACATTGGGATTCAGTAGGTCACAGCAGACCAGGTGAAGCTACATGGATGGTGCTAAAGGGAGATACGAGATTGACCTTTGCAGACAATGACACAAAACAGTCTTCCAGCAAGTTATTATCCTTTATGGATTCAAAGAGGGATTTTAAATTTATGCTCCTAACTTTAAGGAACTCATAGTTTACAAAAGAGAAGACGGAGAAGTAAACATAATTCATTCATGAACCTCCTAGGTGATTAAAGGTTTAGAGCTAAATAATAGTACTATTAGAGTTTCACTTCAGAAATAATACTAGTAATAGGATAAAAGTGAATTTGAGAGGGATGGGTACAGAGAAACATGATTATAATAGAACAGGTGAGATAATCTAAGTGTAAGTGGGACAAGGGTGGTAAAAACTAAGTGGACCATGGACAGAGAGATGTGGAATAGCAATTAATTGGACACCTAAAGCCCGATTAATGTGTGGATTTTTGACTTTAGATATTTTCAGTGCCTTCCTACTCCCTCCATTTCTAAGCTTCTGCACTTTCAGTTAAATGTGAGTCAGTATTAACACTGACTCACTTTTAACAGTGGAGTCCTAGAACACAGATCAGACCATCAGCAGGGAAGTGCTGATAGTTACTTGATAGCAGTTCTCTGTGAGGACCATGCTGCAGCTGAGTGACAGCCAAGTGTCTCAGTTGTCTTTCTTCAGCATCATTTGCCAGAATTCCTCATGCCTGTGCTCAGCCCGGGTCCCATGTCTTTGTATGCTGTGGCATGGCTTAGGCTATTGTGAGTGGGGATCCACCATGG